CGTGAGAATTGTCTCATGACCCATCTTTCGTTTGAAGGTACGACTTGGTGATCTTCGTTGGCGAAATGTTGAATAAAACGCATCGTATAAATTAAGAAAACATGGATTACTACGGATATATTGTGAATTGCTTTATTTATTGTAACGAAAAAAAAGTTTTACATTTTCCGAAGACCCATAATCCGCTGTTGCCGTTATCTTTGACACAGAAATAGTCTTTCGTGGTAAATAGGTTGGGTTAATAAAACACTCCATTCATCATTTAAAATATTTACTTGTGATTTAGTCATCACTTTTATTAAAAGACAGTTCGGTTTTGATTGTTCATAAAAGAATTTTGTCAAATGGATAAATCTTGAATAATGGAGGTATAAAATAATAACTAAGGAACGTACTTTTTCGTCAGGTGCTTGAAACGACTCCACAGGTCCTTGGTTAGCCTACGAGCGTTTACGCTTTTCTGATAAGAATTATTTGACTCTCGTGCTTTATCGAAAAAAGAGAGAGAAATAAAAATGTCAGACAATCGTTAAACGCAACAATCCAACAGTACATATAAGCGGGAAAAATTTTTTGTATATATATATATATGTGACTGAGTCACAAATTAAATAATAAAGATTGGGATTTTTTTAATGCTCTAAATTTCACACATGAAATCATTAATGACAAAAAAAAAAAAAAAAAAAAATGATTTCCAACTTCGAAACTCATAGAATTTGTCTCTTTTGCTTCTGAACATGCTGACGTTGGATCACACCACTTATAGATAGAATGTGATTGGGAGATTTTGACAAACCATTGTATTTTGCTGAATCATTGCAACGGTTTTCAGGATTTTTTTGTTTGGATTTTATTCGTTTGAGCTGCTGTTGAGTGTAAAGGTTTAGCCTCAGAGCGTAATCATTCCTAGCAGCTTGAATCATAGCTTCCGTTGGTTCGGGAGTTATTGTGTTTGATGCGACGGTTGTTTCTTTTGGTGGCCTTTGAGAGAATCGAAGAGAAGTTGCCATTTTTCGATTGATTTTTCCTTGAGACTATTATTTGTTTAAATAATTTCTGAATTTGATTTAGATATTGATGAGTATGAGTGCACGAATCTTTATTCAACTGAAAGTTTTAACATCAGTAAGCGCTGTATTTATATTGTGTGCGCCATATATTATACTATATAAATAAAAAATAGTAAATGGTCATCAATATATGTATCAACAGCGAAATTGTTTGTTTTGAACGTATGTTGATGTCATTATGCGTGCTAAGTAAATTTGATGATCATACGTGTACATCAATACATGTTATTTTTGTTAACACCTGCAAAACCTTAAGCATTTAACATATTAGAAAATGGATAATGACGTTATAGCGTCAGAGTCAAACCCTTGCATTGATCAAAGCGTTGAATTAATGGATTACATCACTGCACGTACAAAGTAAATTCAACGATCACTCTAATAAAATCGTACCATATTCTAGAATAAAAAAAGTTTAAAGTCGTCAATCTGACGCAACAAGAGGCTTCGGCTGCCAAATAACGTAAATGTACCTTCCGACACTTGTCCTATACATTTTTATTGGTGGCGTCAAATTTGGTTTCCACGTGATTAAATTTTGTGCGTCGAATTTCTATATTTAGTGTGATATCCGCCGAGAAATTCCAAGTAACATCAGGGTCCCGTATGTTCCGAAAGTTGAACATTTTAATCTCCTAAAAATTACTCCTAGAAGCAAAGTTTGTCTTATTATCCCGGATTTATTTTATAATTAATCGACACATTTCATTTCTGACGTGAATGCAATATTCCCGTATCAGGCGTCTTTCTCCGTGGGATCCCCTCCAAGTACGTAATCTTCTACGATCTATATAGCACACGAGTAGAATATCGGGTTAGAGAATTATTCGTTAGACATTTCCTATTATAATTATTGATGATTACATACACTCCCAATAATATGCAGATCTCATCTTTAATATTAAAACGAGGTTTTATGGATCAGGAAAATTTTCTCAGTAGTTAAACTTATTATGTAATCTATTTTTCATTACGTAAATCTCGTGCTGTCCATATACAGCTATCGTCTGATTTCGGTTCGGTCCTATCTTATCCATGGGCAGAGAACTAAACTACGTAAAACGATTAACGATTTTCAATAACATTGATTCAAACCAGTTTAGTTAGTCGGCATCTTTATATCACTTGATTTAATAGCCAATCTCGTTTTTTTTTTTTTTTTCTAAAGGAATGCTGTTTGAACGAAAGCCAATACGAGTAATTTTTTTATTATTTTTTTTTTTTATTTTTTTTTTTTATTTATTTTTTATTTTATTTTTTATTTTTATTTTTATTTATTTATTTTTTATTTTTACTTTTTATTATTATTATTTTTTTTTAGTGTCTGCATCCATGTCTTTTCGATGACATAATAAAATTACTCGGTATTGTCGCCAAGGGAAAACCTGTAGCCGTCAATTATTCATCAGACATAGTCGCACATGATATCTCATTTGCATTATGCCGATTATAAATTATATTACTAATAAATTGTAAATATTAATTAAGTGTTTTTTTTGAATATCCGCAACCAGGCTAGATCGTAGTTTTGTATAGTTATAATTTAATTCAAAAGTTAAAATATATAAAAACACATCATTATTTTATTTTTTTTATTTTTTAATAAAAAAATAAAAAAATTTTTAAATAACCGAGTAAATTTTCTGGCAGTAGAATTGTGATCTCAAAATTTACATTAAGTATGTATTGTTTAAAAGTAGAGTTAAAAAAAATTATATCTAGTATTTTTGTTATCTTCAAAAATAATCATTCAAATTAATACAAGTTACTTATTTATTTATTTTATTATTTGTCAAATAAATTATTTTATTAATCAAATATATACAAATAAATCTTTTCAATTATTAATATCTTTAATTTTTTAAATAATACAAAATAAATAAAATTAATTTAAAATTATAAAAAAAATTTTTTACTAAAAAAAAAAATTAATTTAATTTGAATTATAATAAAAAAATTTTTTATAAAAAAATAAATAAATAATAATATATAAATTAATACTTTTAAAAAAAAGTTTTAAAAGTAATAATTGAAGTTAATGAACTAATTTAAACTGAAAATTTATGAAATCTAAAAATTTATCATAAAATATTTTTATTAAAACATTAAATAAATAATAAATATTCATAATATTATATTAATTATTATATAAGAATTAACTTATTATTATATATAGTCACACTCTTTCCTGACTACTTGAGGTGTAGCAACCTCAACAACAGAAAAATAATTTCAGCACTAGAAACTTTAAGGTTTCGCAGCTCGAATAACAAAGAATAGAAAGGTAGCAAAAGGCAAAAAGAAGGAACAAGGAAATTGTCTCTTTCCATAATCAACTATATGTCAAGAAGCCCATCAACATACAGATCAAGGCACTAATAACTTCAGCAGTAGAACTTAACCACAACAATAAGGAAACAGACTCTTAGGAAGACTTAACGAATACAACCGCTGGCATAGCAAACATGGACATAAAGACTGAAACTTTTCAGACAAAACAAATATGAAGCAAACAGATGGAAGAAGCGGAAAATAACAGTAGAACCTTCCCAACCAATCATGCACTCCAGGCAGAAAGGAAGTCATACCAGGAACACACTCAAGAAGAAGTGAGCATTTCATCAGGAGTACGAAACATCACAACACAAGATAAGCTGGTCACCGAAGTAAACGAGGAGAAGCTCTGAACGTCAGTAGACCAGAAGAATAAGATGGCTCGCTTCACTAACAAGTCTAGACTGAGAACACCAGTCAACCCAGAAGTTAGATACGGAAGAGAGAAATTCAAGGTGATAATCAATGTCAATGTCACCCCAGGCTCAAACAATAATGCAAAGATCCTCTACTTAACTAAAGTTCTCAACTCCTCCTAGTACTCATTGCAATCCACAACAAACATAACAAAGAAGGCACCCGAATTGTCACAATTTTTGAGAATCAACAAGTAGCAATGACACAACCAAAATGGAGTTACCAAATCTAGGTGACAATAAGCTTATACACATGCAGATCAGCAGACAAATGATTGAAAAGGGTAAATCTATAGTAGTCTGGGACATATCCCTGAACACAAGACTTATGGAAGTCAGACAGCACTTTGCCAGATTTGATAACATATTGGGAATAAGTATGAAAACATAGAATCTGTGGCAGTGTGTCACTATTACTTTAGAAGAAGAGATAGTCAAGTAGGTCTAGTTAAGCAATATAGCATTCTTATCAAAAGGGATGCAGTCAAAATAAACGATGCCAACTGGTTTGTGGACCAGATGAGGAAATGATACAGCATAGTAGCCAAACTGGTTAACTTGTCACCGGGTACCACAGCATGGAACCTCAGACAGGCTCTAAGTGAGATGAAGACACGCATATGCTACATACTGCATACATATTCAACAAGATATCGATCCAACAAATTTGCAGTGATAAGTTTCGAAACAAGAGAAGATCTCCTCATAGTCAAGAACTTGACCTTCACCCTAGGTAAAACTATTATCTCCTTGACCCCCATCAGTATACTACTATGCTTCATCTGCAATTCATCAACATACCTCATCAGAGACTGTCCCATTAAAGAATGGAGAAAACAATGGAGAGATTTCAACCACACTCAAACTGAAAAGTATGGACAATTTACAGCAAATTCAAATCAACTAAAATGGGCAGACTTAGAGTAGACTCCTTATCAAATAATAAGAGAAATGCCAAACCAGTATCATATGCAGCAGCAGTAAAAGTGACCAGCAAACAACAGGACAGGACAAACCAGAAACAAACTTAGCACAAGCAGCAGAAATGGCCTTTTCATCAACAAGGGCATACACAGCAACTCCCAGACATCACGAAATCATGGCAATGCTCATATTGTTACAGAAAGAGATTGCAAGCCTCAAGAAAATAGTAACAGACCTAGATGAAAGAGTCATCAACTTGGAAGCATACAATTAGGAATATTATGAAGAGATGAAACAAGACTTAATCAATGGTGGAAAAGAGTTGGACGCAGCACAAAGAAACAGCGTCAATGGTTCAAAAATCTCCTCTTAAACCCAATGTCATGGGCTAACCCGGTGAGTTTGTCACTAAGCCGTAGCACCTCGCATAACCCAGATGTTTCACAAATATTCACAAGAAGAGAACATCTCCTATAAAGAACACTTAGGGAAGGCAGAGGCATGATGATTGACTTGGCCGAAGGTAAGTATCTCTTTATTGCATTCTGTTTCTTTGAGATATCACTAACTCTTATCTTTATTCTTAATGAGAACTGTTTTTCCTAACATATACAGCTCTGCCTTTTTGGCATGCATTGGTAAGCCATTTATACTTTTCTAACTAACAATGGGCTATCTACTCTATAATCAGCTATACTAATCCTAAGCTTTGCTAAACTTTTCATACTTTTCAGATACACATAGTTCCCTTATCAGTACCTGAGCCTTATCTATAGTTTCTTATCTTGCAACACTCAATCTTTCATGCCAGACTTTTGGGTTTTTGGATTTTAAACCATTACATGTAAATTGTATCACCCACGTGACCCATAACACCAGGAAACAGTAGACATCTATGAAAGACAGCAACAGATTAACAAAACAATGGAGGACATGTAAGCAAACATGCAGAGTGCACTTGAGGCCATAGGCTTCCTGACAGACAACCACCCCCAAAATCAATAACAATCTTATGTTTGATAAATCCAACAATCTAGAAATTTTTACAAATAATACTCAAAACACAAAAACAAACAGTATAGGAGTATCAAATCCAACAGACATAAGCTTTACAGTACAGATCGCAACCTCAAACACAAAAGGCCTTAACAAAGAAACGAACAGAACCTCTTATACAAATTTATAGCAGGAAATGAATTGGGATATCATTATTAGTACTGAAACAAATAGGAAAGACTACATATCAAAATATTGGAGAATGAAAGA